TCACATGGAAGGGGGGGGGGGCTCACAAGCCCCTTATGTGATAGCACATTTGAGATGACAGGTTCTCTTTAAAGGTGACATTAGGAGGTCTATTAGACCCCTAGTGTCACCTTTCCACTTCACTGGGGAAATGACAGCTGCCTGCTGAGGCAGCTTAATGTAAATATAGTATGCAGTGGCTGGGAGCAATAGCCAGCCTCCTATTGGCTATTTCAAATTACAATAGCAAATAGCAGGCTGGCTATTGCACTCACCCACTGTCTGCTGTCAATCAATCAAGTTTTCCTTCAGGTCCTCCTCTGCTGATTGACAGCAGGCAAATGACGGGTGCAATAGCCAGCCTGCTATTGCAATTTAAAATATCCAACAGCAGGCTGGCTATTGTTTCCAGCCGCTGATGGGAGACTTGACACCAGTGTTCTATTAATACCTCGGACTCAAGTCCAAAGGATTGAGAGAACACACCGGCAGAAGAGGGGGGCAGAGGAGGAGGAACGATGCAGGCAGCCTGGGGAATCCAGAGCCACCGCAACCTCTGCCCATACAGGCGGGGAGAAAAGCGAGGATTGAAAGGGGGACAGACCTCTGCAGCCAGCGCCAGCAGGGAGAACGGAGAACGGAGGAGCAGAGCGACGGCGGGGGAAACAGTTAATCGATAATGAGAATTGTTGATAACGATTCTCATTATCGATTTTATCGTTGAGTTGTTTCAGCCCTATAGGACAGCCATGAATTGGTATTTCACTAATCCTATTGCTCAGATAAAAATGGCATAATTTCACAGATTATTTTAAGGTCACACTTACAATATACATACCTTACTAGAAAAGGGTGGGCATACAGTTCATCCAACAAAGTTTACGACAACCAGGTGAAGAATGATGTTGGCGAACAGAAAATCAGCAAAGGCTCTTTCTGGAGAGATTCCCAGGAAATCGCCTTTATTTTGGGGGTTAATCTGGATCCTTAAACACACTGAAACAAAAGATAGCACGGTTAACAATTAACATGATAACATTATGAATAAACCTCACGTATCCCTCCTTTCTCAGCTGTAGATGGGAAGCCTGTACAAATCGATGACAGGCTGTCACTCTCCGCATACAATCACTCAAGGAGCAATAATCTGCAGTTAGGGACACATGAGCGGCTGTGGACACGCACAGTGACAGCCTGTCACTGGCTTGTACAGGTTTCCTGCCTGCAGATGAAGGTAAACACTGGGCTCCTGCCCCACAAATACGCTGATCTGGGAGACGTACAGCCTTTCACACCCATGTGAATGAATCCTTTGCCACACTGGCATTATAAAAAGGAGGGACAAAAAAAAAAAAAAAAACATT